TTTTCTCCACATATAATATAAACACTCCTTGAATCATTTTTTTTTTTTTTTTTTTTTTTAAAGAAACTGAACAATTTTTCTTTGGTTTCAATACCCAGATTTTTTTTGGAAATAAACTCTACCACAAATCTGGAAGTGGAACGAGAGAGTTTTTTCGTCTTTTTAAAATACCGGCCAGGACACTAAAGGGTATGACCCCCCTGGTAACTTATACCTCATACCCAATTGGGATGAGGAATACTTTTTTGAAAATATAATATATATATATATATATGATAACTATTCCCGTGGCAGGGGAATTGTTATATAAATATTTATTATCAAAGTAAACAATTTTAACTCTGTAATGCTCCCAACTTTAGCATCTAAGTAAAGTATTTGTTGCTGCTAATATTTTTCTGTGAATCTACTTCACTCTCCATTATCACCCATCATTATCATCCATCACTGCAACCAGCATCCCATCTTTAATCATACTATTAGAATTTCCTCTGTCGACACACTAACAGATACAGGGAATATGCTTTAAAGATATGTTTAAGGCTAGAGAACAGGGCTCGCCAAACTAACACGAATTATATATAACTGACATTGTCTACANTTTTTTTCATTTTTTTTTTTTTTTTTTTTTTTTAATTATTCAAATAATATACGTTATACGTTATAACTTACGTAAACATCTTAAGATAACGGTAATCAGTAAATGGCCTTATAAACTGTATAAAAGAGACTTATGAGATACAGAAATATATTGTGAATGGGAAAGATGAAAAGCATAGACATACCTTCCATAAAGACTGGGAAAAGTGGCAAAACCTTCTTGATATTCCATAAACCCCTCAATTTCATGATTTATATATAGAAAACCAAAAATTACTGTGGTAACAGTAATAGATAGGAATATTCTAAGTATATTGAGCTGATATAATACAAATGTTACTGTATGATAGACAGGTTAATGTGACAAATTGTTCTTCTGTTACCAATCTTGTTTCTCTCAACCTTCCCCCCCCCTTCTCTCTCTCTCTCTCTCTCTCTCTCTCTCTCTCTTTCTCTCTCTCTCTCTCTCTTCTTTTCTTTTTTCTTTTCATATTTCTTAATTCAAATGACTATCATTTGTGTACTGTGTGTGTGTGTGTATGGGGGAGTGTAAGTTTGAGGGAATGCTGAGTATATTTTTTATTGATAATTTGATTAAGGACATGGAATAACTCACTTTGAAGCTGTGTATGTACATGTGAATTGATTTATACAACAACTAAGTGAGTGATTTTAAATTTGAAAAAAATTGTAAATCAGGAATGATGATGATGATATTATGAATTAATGATGATGATGATAATAATATTTTGATGAAGATACATATAGAATGATGAGTGAAGATTATAATTGAAGATGATGATTGTATGATGATAGGGATGATTGTAGGATGATGGTGATGATTGTAGGATGATGGTGATGATTGTATGACGATGGTGATGATTGTATGATGATGGTGATGATTGTATGATGATGATGATATGATGATGATGATAATTATATGTTGATGATGATATATGTGAAATGATGATTGAAGATTTTGGATGATGATGGATTATGGATTGAATAAGTATATATGAAAGAGGATGAAGAAGATGATAAAGATAATGATGATGATGATATGTTGATGATGATAGAATGATGACAATGAAATTGATTGTGATAATGCTTAATCCATGTCCGTGTGTGTATATGTGATATATGTGGGAATGTGTGAATGTCCTGTTTATGTATATGTAATGAAAAACTTAGAAAAAAAAAACCATTACAAAAAAAAAAAAAGATAACGGTACCCTCAGACCTTACTTATCTTATATAAGTATGTTTAAATAAATAATTCTGACGACAAAAGATTACAAAGATACACCTCTTCCTTATAAATATAAAAAATACTAGCTTCGTATCTCTAAAGGTTATTTTACTATCTTCTTCCTATCTGCTAACTTTTACTTTTAGATTACTCAAGTATTTATTTAGCAGTAGCAATATTTTTTTATTATTATATAAATGCACACCTACTAGATTAAAGGTAAAAACCCGAATACACCATAGGGACCCACCCGGATAATTTCAGCCTCCTGCCAAGCCTGGGAAAAGATACTGTAAAGTACTGTACCTCACGGAAGCAGAGACGTTTCTCGACTGTCGGGTGTACCTGGTTTTCTGAGACCCGGGGTACATAACAAACATAATACATATACCTTCCTATAAGAACATGGATGCATGCAATAAGTACACTTTCATAATTTACAAAATATATTTCAATCTTATATTTCTGTAAAAGAAAACAATACTGTAAAATATGTTTCACACATTATTAATATAAACCTTCTTGGCCTCTTTTGATCGCCCTCCAACGATGCATACATACTAGTGTGGAACAGTAGACGAAGTTGCAGCGACTGGCGTAGACGGGCTTCACCCAAAACGTCATAGAACCACGGGGCTGACGTAATACATAGTAATTCTGTTTTATACTCATGTGTATGTTTGCGTTAGATTCCAAGCGCTTACTTGTTTTATATATAACTACATGTTTTATATTCTTTTATAATTCTGTTAAAAGTGGTATTGGTTTGATCCAATAGACAAAACTAGAGTTCGGATTAAATCTGAGTACTGAAGGAATTTCCAAATTCTACTGATGTGAACGTTGTTGATGGTCAGTAATGATGTTTTTTTATGAATTAGATATGCTTACATAACATTGCTTCCAATATGAAATATACAACATATACTATACTATACTAGAAACCAATAATATCTGACATGAAGTCTCTAGTTACCTCCCTTCATATAGCGTCCGTCGCCGATCTATACGTGTTCGTTTCTTATACACACGTATAGACACCCACTGATCACTGCAGTGTAGACCGGGCGCCGATAGCTATATGTCTACCTGATCGAAACCCCTAAACACGTATAATACACTAAAATGTCACGGACCGAACTCCTGCGATACAATCTCCCGTTTGGTACAGTCGAGTAGACAGATATAGTTGACGTAGTAGGAGGCCATTTCAAGTCGACTGGTCGTGTAACCCTCGTATCTACCTAACTCTGATAAAACAATGTTAGGTAAACAATGTATTTGTCTTCAAATTGTTATGTTGTGAAATATTTGTAAGGATTCTCGTTCCACTGCTGTCAAAACTGCCAGAGTATTGGAAACTAATTTAAGTATTATTTTAAATAATGACCACCTCGACCCATATACAAATGTATGTGGATTTTATCTAGCATCAAGTGTATGAGGGTCACGTAAGTCAATGTTTCGACACTGATTTTGAAGATAGTTATATAAGGAAATGAAAGATTTTACACAGGTTATAAAACAAACAGCATTTTACACAGATTTTATAACAAACAGCATTGTACACAGACCATGTTATAGACAAAGACAGATATGTTATAGAAACAAGGACTACTCTTAGTTACAAAGGAGTTTACATTATTATATATACTCTGAGTTACAAACAAATCAATAAACTAGTTAAATTGACAGTTACAAAGTAAATAATAACAGAGCATGTAAATATAGTAAGAAAAATATGATACACTGACCGTCCATTTGTTCACCTTGATGTTTTAACACGAAGATAACGAGTTTTGGTAATGTATTGCTATTTAACAAGGGTCATCAATGTTGTCTCGTATTACCACCGGACATATTCTACAACACTAGATAACCTTACTACAAACACTTCCTCCTTCTTTGTCGATTCTTTTATTCCAAGAGAATACCGCTATACACCCCAGCTAGGTAACACTTCCCCCTAATAAAGATTTCCTCTCAAAGAGATATCCCACCATTGGTTCAATGTTCTTGACCGATCTATAATATCTGCGGAAGAGTTAAAGCTGCCCTTTAAAGAGACATATGTCCCCGTCACCAGATCACATCTTGCTGGTACAGTGTCTTCAGTAGTTAACGACAATGTTCCGTTCACAATATCAAGATTCCAGTTCCAACCATTAAATTACGTCTGTAGTGTTTCAAAATTCGTCCTCTAATAGTAAGAAACTATGTACTCGCTGTAATATTCCACTGATGAAAAAAACCTGTTTATTTGTGACTTGTTCTCCTTAAATTCCCATACATTAAAATCTGGATCAAACGTTGCAGAGTAAAAGGGACATTTCGGTCACTTTGACAAGCTGTAGAAATGTATCCCCGATCTTGATGAAGCTGGTGGGATAGTTCGTATCATGATTGAATTTTAAACATTTAAAAATCATACGGTTTTATAATATTACCGCATAATTAAATTGATAATTAGAATAACAATATCTTCTAAATATAAGATAATATAGCTGGTCTATGAAATGGTTTTAAAAATACTTAACTTAATGTACAGTACCCGGATGTTGTGTTATCGGTTAAAACAGACTGTCGAAGAGATTATCGAAATCAGTGATCAACACCTTTTACTGAAACATTTTTTTTTTTTTTAAGTTACTTAATTAATATGCTTTTGAGTAAGAGCTTGTGCGTGTGTGTGTGTGTTTGTGTGTGTGTGCGCATGTTTATTATGCGTGTATGTGAGGGTGTATGTGTGTTATGGAGTGTGGTCTGATTGTAAAAACATATGCATGATTTGCTAAGGAAGCACATTATAAGTTTTCAAATGTCATCAAATGATGTTTATTTTCTTTCTTATATTTGTAACTTGGTTGAATGTTCTAGCCTATATGTGTGTAAGTGTATATGAGTGTGTCTTGTTGATCTATGTACTAAATGTATGCTTCCTATCAATCTATACTGGATAGGAGAAGACTTATATAGGCTAAGCCTGTTGTCTCGTCCAATTGTGCATTTTTTTTGTCCATTTTTTGTTGTTGAAATCTTACACGTATCTATACTAGGGCTGGTCTGTATACTGATCAGTCGGATATTACTACTTTGTCGTCTGCCGTGAACTAGCGTATGTCAATGGCTATTCTATACACAATGAGATTATGCCATTTTTTTGGTTCGTGATTCAACATGGTGAACTGGTGAATATAAATTGTTTCCATATCGCCAGTACGACGCTACATCCGGTAAGGTAAGGACATATATCTGATCGTTAAATTATTCTAATGAACACATCATTCCATATGATTATATTTCACATTTGATATCATTTCAAAAAGACAAATCTATAATTTTGGATACAAACATATCTTTTCATTGACTTGCTAAGTGACGCGTTGTTCTTCGTCAAAACTGAATATTATGAGGTCTTAGGTCAATAAATATTACATTAGTGTTACATACCCTAATGGAATTAGCTGTCTATCTGTTTGTGATGATAAACATAGCGGGTAGGACTTCTTACTTGATGATGTGTTTTGTGGTCCAGGACACCCTTGGGTGGGTTATTGATGATTTGTTTTGTGGTTCAGGACACCCTTGGGTGGGTTATTGATGATGTGTTTTGTGGTTCAGGACACCCTTGGGTGGGTTATTGATGATGTGTTTTGTGGTTCAGGACACCCTTGGGTGGGTTATTGATGATGTGTTTTGTGGTTCAGGACACCCTTGGGTGGGTTATTGATGATGTGTTTTGTGGTTCAGGACACCCTTGGGTGGGTTATTGATGATGTGTTTTGTGGTTCAGGACACCCTTGGGTGGGTTATTGATGATGTGTTTTGTGGTTCAGGACACCCTTGGGTGGGTTATTGATGATGTGTTTTGTGGTTCAGGACACCCTTGGGTGGGTTATTGATGATGTGTTTTGTGGTTCAGGACACCCTTGGGTGGGTTATTGATGATGTGTTTTGTGGTTCAGGACACCCTTGGGTGGGTTATTGATGATGTGTTTTGTGGTTCAGGACACCCTTGGGTGGGTTATTGATGATGTGTTTTGTGGTTCAGGACACCCTTGGGTGGGTTATTGATGATGTGTTTTGTGGTTCAGGACACCCTTGGGTGGGTTATTGATGATGTGTTTTGTGGTTCAGGACACCCTTGGGTGGGTTATTGATGATGTGTTTTGTGGTTCAGGACACCCTTGGGTGGGTTATTGATGATGTGTTTTGTGGTTCAGGACACCCTTGGGTGGGTTATTGATGATGTGTTTTGTGGTTCAGGACACCCTTGGGTGGGTTATTGATGATGTGTTTTGTGGTTCAGGACACCCTTGGGTGGGTTATTGATGATGTGTTTTGTGGTTCAGGACACCCTTGGGTGGGTTATTGATGATGTGTTTTGTGGTTCAGGACACCCTTGGGTGGGTTATTGATGATGTGTTTTGTGGTTCAGGACACCCTTGGGTGGGTTATTGATGATGTGTTTTGTGGTTCAGGACACCCTTGGGTGGGTTATTGATGATTTGTTTTGTGGTTCAGGACACCCTTGGGTGGGTTATTGATGATGTGTTTTGTGGTTCAGGACACCCTTGGGTGGGTTATTGATGATGTGTTTTGTGGTTCAGGACACCCTTGGGTGGGTTATTGATGATTTGTTTTGTGGTTCAGGACACCCTTGGGTGGGTTATTGATGATGTGTTTTGTGGTTCAGGACACCCTTGGGTGGGTTATTGATGATGTGTTTTGTGGTTCAGGACACCCTTGGGTGGGTTATTGATGATTTGTTTTGTGGTTCAGGACACCCTTGGGTGGGTTATTGATGATGTGTTTTGTGGTTCAGGACACCCTTGGGTGGGTTATTGATGATGTGTTTTGTGGTTCAGGACACCCTTGGGTGGGTTATTGATGATTTGTTTTGTGGTTCAGGACACCCTTGGGTGGGTTATTGATGATGTGTTTTGTGGTTCAGGACACCCTTGGGTGGGTTATTGATGATGTGTTTTGTGGTTCAGGACACCCTTGGGTGGGTTATTGATGATTTGTTTTGTGGTTCAGGACACCCTTGGGTGGGTTATTGATGATGTGTTTTGTGGTTCAGGACACCCTTGGGTGGGTTATTGATGATTTGTTTTGTGGTTCAGGACACCCTTGGGTGGGTTATTGATGATGTGTTTTGTGGTTCAGGACACCCTTGGGTGGGTTATTGATGATTTGTTTTGTGGTTCAGGACACCCTTGGGTGGGTTATTGATGATGTGTTTTGTGGTTCAGGACACCCTTGGGTGGGTTATTGATGATTTGTTTTGTGGTTCAGGACACCCTTGGGTGGGTTATTGATGATGTGTTTTGTGGTTCAGGACACCCTTGGGTGGGTTATTGATGATTTGTTTTGTGGTTCAGGACACCCTTGGGTGGGTTATTGATGATGTGTTTTGTGGTTCAGGACACCCTTGGGTGGGTTATTGATGATTTGTTTTGTGGTTCAGGACACCCTTGGGTGGGTTATTGATGATGTGTTTTGTGGTTCAGGACACCCTTGGGTGGGTTATTGATGATTTGTTTTGTGGTTCAGGACACCCTTGGGTGGGTTATTGATGATGTGTTTTGTGGTTCAGGACACCCTTGGGTGGGTTATTGATGATTTGTTTTGTGGTTCAGGACACCCTTGGGTGGGTTATTGATGATGTGTTTTGTGGTTCAGGACACCCTTGGGTGGGTTATTGATGATTTGTTTTGTGGTTCAGGACACCCTTGGGTGGGTTATTGATGATGTGTTTTGTGGTTCAGGATACCCTTGGGTGGGTTATTGATAATGTGTTTTGTGGTGCAGGACACCCTTGGGTGGGTTATTGATGACTTGTTTTGTGGTTCAGGATACCCTTGGGTGGGTTATTGATGATGTGTTTTGTGGTCCAGGACACCCTTGGGTGGGTTATTGATGATGTGTTTTGTGGTCCAGGACACCTTTGGGTGGGTTATTGATGATGTGTTTTGTGGTGCAGGACACCCTTGGGTGGGTTATTGATGATGTGTTTTGTGGTTCAGGACACCCTTGGATGGGTTATTGATGGTGTGTTTTACATTGTTGGCTCACATGTTATTTTATCGTGCTACCAAATCAACGTCCGATTTTGCTAGCAGGCGTCATGTATGTTACCTATAAACAGTTTTTTATGAAAGTTGCACAATTGAATACTTCTATATCTCTTTTTCAGATAGAACATCAATCGGAAATACAAAAAATGACTTTGGACAGCTTTTAGTGTGTTCTCAAAACTTTCATAAAACTAAAGAGTTGTGAACTGTTGATTTCCGAATCAAATAACTTACGTTTTCGACATTCGTTAAAATAAGATATAGAAGTACTCCATGTTCGATGAAGCCCATTTTAGGAAAATTTCGCTCTGAACTGAAGACAGTTTCCAGACAAATGCTCAACATGAGATTCATTTTCGTCTTTATTTGTATAACTGGAGCAGCGATGATGGTCGTCAAGCACTACCGCTGTCCTGTGGTTCGGAATATCCAACCAGGTAAGTATGTCAAAATTAGAAGAAAGGTCTATAATATTTATAAATAATGAAAAATATTTCGAGGTTCTGATATACCGCTTTATCACAGCCTAGTTCGTAGGTCGGTTCGCGAATTCTTTCTCAATGCCCTGGGGAGCATTCAGCCGGTGCTGCCATTTCGGCGCTCACAGCTAGCATTCAACAATTCTAGCACTGTCCAACCACGTACTTATTTACAGCTGACTAGACAAGATCAAGCGGAGTAAAATGTCATGCTCAAAGATATATACATATATTATATATATAAAACTCGAACCCGCAACCCTTAGGTCACGAGCCCGGCGTGCTACCACTAGGCTACCGTGTCTCCTTAATGTATTAAAGACATCCACTACATACATCCCAGTTCAGTAGGTGCTATTTTTTCCTTTCTGTGTTGGGGTTCTTTATACTCAGAAATGACAGCGTCACCTCTTCCGAACCTTTGTTTATATTAGCTGTTTCTTTATTTGTTAAAAATGTATCAGCTATATCAGGGATTGTAAGAATTTATCAGCTATATCAGGGATGTTTAGAATTTATCAGCTATATCAAATATGGTTTAGAATATATCAGATATATCAGGGGTGGTTAGAATATATCAGCTATATTAGGGATGTTTAGAATATATCAGCTATATCAGGGATGTTAAGACTTGATAAGCTATATCACGGATGTTTAAAATATATCAGCTACATCAGGGATGTTTATAATTTATCAGCTATATCACGGATGTTTAGAATTTATCAGCTATATCACGGATGTTTAGAATGTATAAGCTATATCAGGGATGTTATATTTTATTAGCTATATCAGGGATGTTTATAATTTATCAGCTATATCAGGGATGTTTATAATTTATCAGCTATATCAGGGATGTTTAGAATCGATAAGTTATATCAGGGATGGTTATAATTTATCAGTTTTATCAGGGATGTTTAGAATTTATCGCTATATCAGGGATGTTTAGAATTTATAATCTGTATTGTGGATGTTTAGAATGTATCAGCTGTATCAGGGATGTTTTGAATGTATCGCTATATCAGGGATGGTTAACATCTATCGCTATATCAGGGATGGTTTGAATTGATCACACTCGTATTAACCTAGACATGTGCTAAAAAGTTTATTACAGCCGATTATTTCTTTTGTCAGTTGACACACAGATCGTCAAGCATCTACTTAGACCTGCTGAAGCCCAGAATACATCTCAATGTGAGTGATGTCCTTACTGTAGTGACATAGTTATTGACTGTTCTTACTGTAATGACATAGTTATTAACTGTTCATACTGTAGGGACACAGTTATTGACTGTTCTTACTGTAGTGACATAGATATTGACAGTTCTTACTGTGGTGACATAGATATTGACTGTTCTTACTGTAGTGACACAGTTATTCACTGTCCTTACTGTAGTGACATAGGTTCATACTGTAGTGACATATGTATTGACTGTCCTTACTGTAGTGACATAGAAATTGACTGTTCTTACTGTAGTGACATAGATATTGGCTGTTCATACTGTAGTGACACAGTTATTGACTGTTCTTACTGTAGTGACATATGTATTGACTGTTCATACTGTAGTGACATAGATATTGACTGTTCATACTGTAGTGACATATGTGTTGACTGTTCTTACTGTAGTGACATAGATATTGACTGTCCTTACTGTAGTGACATAGATATTGACTTTCCTTACTGTAGTGACATAGATATTGACTGTTCATACTGTAGTGACATATGTGTTGACTGTTCTTACTGTAGTGACATAGATATTGACTGTCCTTACTGTAGTGACATAGTTATTTACTGTCCTTACTGTAGTGACATAGATATTGACTGTCCTTACTGTAGTGACATAGTTATTGACTGTCCTTACTGTAATGACATAGATATTGACTGTTCTTACTGTAGTGATACAGTTATTGACTGTTCTTACTGTAGTGACATATGCATTGACTGTTCATACTGTAGTGACATAGATATTGACTGTTCATACTGTAGTGACATAGATATTGACTGTTCATACTGTAGTGACATAGATATTGACTGTTCATACTGTAGTGACATATGTGTTGACTGTTCTTACTGTAGTGACATAGATATTGACAGTTCTTACTGTAGTGACATAGATATTGACAGTTCTTACTGTAGTGACATAGATATTGACTGTTCATACTGTAGTGACATAGATATTGACTGTTCATACTTTAGGGACACAGTTATTGACTGTTCTTACTGTAGTGACATATGCATTGACTGTTCATACTGTAGTGACATAGATATTGACTGCCCATACTGTAGTGACATAGATATTGACTGTTCTTACTGTAGTGACACAGTTATTCACTGTCCTTACTGTAGTGACATAGGTTCATACTGTAGTGACATATGTATTGACTGTCATTACTGTAGTGACATAGATATTGACTGTTCATACTGTAGTGACATAGATATTGACTGTTCTTTCTGTAGTGACATATTTATTGACTTTTCTTACTGTAGTGAGAATACATCTCAATGTGAGTGATGTCCTTACTGTAGTGACATAGTTATTGACTGTCCTTACTGTAATGACATAGATATTGACTGTTCTTACTGTAGTGATACAGTTATTGACTGTTCTTACTGTAGTGACATATGCATTGACTGTTCATACTGTAGTGACATAGATATTGACAGTTCTTACTGCAGTGACATAGATATTGACAGTTCTTACTGTAGTGACATAGATATTGACAGTTCTTACTGTGGTGACATAGATATTGACTGTTCTTACTGTAGTGATACAGTTATTGACTGTTCTTACTGTAGTGACATATGCATTGACTGTTCATACTGTAGTGACATAGATATTGACTGTTCTTACTGTAGTGACATATTTATTGACTTTTCTTACTGTAGTGACATATTTATTGACTGTTCTTACTGTAGTGACATAGATATTGACTGTTCATACTGTAGTGACATAGGTATTGACTGTTGACATAGATATTGACTGTTCTTACTGTAGTGACATATGTATTGACTGTTCATACTGTAGTGACATAGATATTGACAGTTCTTACTGTAGTCAAATAGGTATTGACTGTTCTGACTGTAGTGACATAGATATTGACTGTTCATACTGTAGTGACATAGGTATTGACTGTTCTTACTGTAGTGACATAGATATTGACTGTTCATACTGAAGTGACAGGTATTGACTGTTCTTACTGTAGTGACACAGTTATTGACTGTTCTGACTGTAGTGACATATGTATTGACTGTTCTTACTGTAGTGACACAGTTATTCACTGTCCTTACTGTAGTGACATAGGTATTGACTGTTCTGACTGTAGTGACATATTTATTGACTGTTCTTACTGTAGTGACATATGTATTGACTGTTCTTACTGTAGTGACATAGATATTGACTGTTCTTACTGTAGTGACATAGATATTGACTGTTCTTACTGTAGTGACATATGTATTGACTGTTCTTACTGTAGTGACACAGTTATTGACTGTTCTTACTGTAGTGACATAGATATTGACTGTTCTTACTGTAGTGACACAGTTATTCACTGTCCTTACTGTAGTGACATATTTATTGACTGTTCTTACTGTAGTGACATATTTATTGACTGTTCTTACTGTAGTGACATAGATATTGACTGTTCTTACTGTAGTGACATAGATATTGACAGTTCTTACTGTAGTGACATAGATATTGACTGTTCTTACTGTAGTGACATAGATATTGACTGTTCTTACTGTAGTGACATAGATATTGACAGTTCTTACTGTAGTGACATAGATATTGACTGTTCTTACTGTAGTGACATAGATATTGACTGTTCTTACTGTAGTGACATAGATATTGACAGTTCTTACTGTAGTGACATAGATATTGACTGTTCTTACTGTAGTGACATAGATATTGACTGTTCTTACTGTAGTGACATAGATATTGACAGTTCTTACTGTAGTGACATAGATATTGACAGTTCTTACTGTAGTGACATATTTATTGACTGTTCTTACTGTAGTCAAATAGGTATTGACTGTTCTTACTGTAGTGACATAGATATTGACTGTTCTTACTGTAGTGATCTAGGTATTGACAGTTCTTACTGTAGTGACTTAGTTATTGACAGTTCTTACTGTAATGACATAGTTATTGACTGTTCTTACTGTAGTCAAATAGGTATTGACTGTTCTGACTGTAGTGACATATTTATTGACTGTTCTAACTGTAGTAACATAGATATTGACAGTTCTTACTGTAGTGACATATTTATTGACTGATCTTACTGTAGTCAAATAGGTATTGACTGTTCTGACTGTTCTTACTGTAGTGACATATATATTGACTGCTCTTACTGTAGTGACATAGATATTGACTGTTCTTACTGTAGTGACATATATATTGACTGCTCTTACTGTAGTGACATAGATATTGACTGTTCTTACTGTAGTGATATAGATATTGACAGTTCTTACTGTAGTGACATAGATATTGACTGTTCCCATTGTAGTGACATAGATATTGACTGTTCCCATTGTAGTGACATATATATATATACTGTTTTTACTGTAGTGACATATGTATAGACTGTTTTTACTGTAGTGACATATGTATAGACTGTTTTTACTGTAGTGACATATATATAGACTGTTTTTACTGTAGTGACATATATATAGACTGTTTTTACTGTAGTGACATATATATAGACTGTTTTTACTGTAGTGACATATATATAGACTGTTTTTACTGTAGTGACATATATATAGACTGTTTTTACTGTAGTGACATATATATAGACTGTTTTTACTGTAGTGACATATATATAGACTGTTTTTACTGTAGTGACATATATATAGACTGTTTTTACTGTAGTGACATATATATAGACTGTTTTTACTGTAGTGACATATATATAGACTGTTTTTACTGTAGTGACATATATATAGACTGTTTTTACTGTAGTGACATATATATAGACTGTTTTTACTGTAGTGACATATATATAGACTGCTTTTACTGTAGTGACATATATATATATATAGACTGTTTTTACTGTAGTGACATAGTTATTGTGATAACGTTCAGTGATTTACAGTGATATGATGACGTGTAACGATGGGAAACATACCAAGATGGAGAAAGTTTGGAAAAAAAATAGTAAGAACCGTCTGCTCCAACAGATATGTTTTATGATTTGTATATTCTAAATAATGTAGCAAATGTTGATCGTATCTTTTCTTTTAAACGAAAACTGAATGCGTCTTTTTCACTCCTTTAAAAAAAAGGTTTCCTACAAATAATCTCATTACAGTGTATCTAACTTAGGTTGATATTTTGCGCATGAAAGCAATTATGACGTCGCTAATTTTTTTACTTCACAAGAAATCCTCGCGCCGCTGAAGTAATAATCTGGCTGTTGCCAGAGGTCATATTCTCCCTTACTAACAGGGATCTATGTGGCTCAACTGTTTACATGTGCATTTCAAAAGATGGTTTTCACGTGCTTATTAGAAAATAATACAAACACGCTAATAATAACGATAACCTTCTCTACATTGACGTCATGTCCATCAATGTATAGACAATGGTGTGTGCTAAAGTAATTGACAACACTGGTCACTAGTGGACAGTGATTAGTGGACAGTAGTTAGTGGACAGTAGTTAGTGGACAGTGATTAGTGGACAGTGATTAGTGGACAGTAGTTAGTGGACATTGATTAGTAGACAGTACTTAGTGGAGAGTGGTTAGTGGACAGTGATTAGTGGACAGTAGTTAATGGACAGTTGTTAGGGGACAGTGATTAGTGGACAGTAGTTAGTGGACAGTGATTAGTGGACAGTAGTTAGTGGACAGTGGCTAGTGGACAGTAGTTAGTGGCAAGTGATTAGTGAAGAGTGATTAGTGGACAGTAGTTAATGGACAGTAGTTAGTGGACAATGGCTAGTGGAGAGTAGTTAGTGGACATTGATTAGTAGACAGTAGTTAGTGGACAGTGATTAGTGGAGAGTAGTTAGTGGACAGTAGTTAGTGGACAGTGATTAGTGGACAATAGCTAGTGGACAGTGATTAGTGGACAGTAGTTAGTGGACAGTGATTAGTGGACAGTAGTTAGTGGACATTGATTAGTAGACAGTACTTAGTGGAGAGTGGTTAGTGGACAGTGATTAGTGGACAGTAGTTAATGGACAGTTGTTAGGGGA